CACCCTTATCTCGGGTACGCATGCAGGCCTTCTTCCCATCATGTATTTTTAAAGCTGTTTGTGCTGTTATTCCTCACGTTTGGACCTCATATGTATTATATTTTATTGTTGTTTTCTATATATGATTACAAATGAGATGTTTGCTATGTTTCTGTGAGTAGCTCTGAGCTATGAGATGAGATCTTGACACTTCTGAGGTGTTCTGTTTTTGTCTCCCTGTTGTAGGAACCTAGACCTGTGCTTGTCTTTTTGAGAACAAAACCTGTCCTTTTTTTGTCTTTTATTAGTCTTCCACATCATGGTGACGAATGTCATTTTCTAGGCTTTTGTTGTCTGTAGAAAATGGGTGGAATGATCCCCACTGATGCATATTAAGAATACATGCAGATGCTGAATGAAAAATTAGATTAAGGAGATAGTTCGTTGAAAGAAAATATTATTCCACTCCAAATACCACTCTTGCTGCAGGGGGAACACTGGGTGAAGGTGTACAGACAGTATATTGGGTTCTGTGAACAGATACAGCTCTGGGACTGTAATAGGTATTCCATGGCCCTTGCACTTCCTCTGTGAAGAACTGGATGGATATGTGAATCAGTCTTGTCGATTATTCAAAGATATGAGTTGTACAGGTTAGCAGATCTATCATGTGGTGCATACACATCTAGTATGTGGAGAGCTCATCAGATCAGGCTCAGCTGTGCTAATTTTCCAGCCATCAGCTGTCCACACTGGTCGTGTCTACACTGTGTTTTCATTTCTTTGACAGTCACACTCTCTCTGAGTTGTTCTTCTACTCTCTCGGCGTTTGTTCTGTCTGTGTTTTGTGAATTTGACAGGAATTTGGCTCAGTTGTTTTAGCCCTTTCTCATTTCCTAGACTGTTTGGTCAAGCAAGTTATGTCATAAGGAATGATGTTAGTGATACCCGCTTACCTACCTCTATTTTGATGCCTTGTTCTGCAAACATCTTTACTTTTTCCTCATTTATCACCGGAGGTAAATGTTTTTCTGTTTTTCTGTCTTCTGTTTTTCTGTCTTCTATGTATCAGCCTATGAGTTCTTGGCAGGTAAATGGTATTGCCAGGGTTTTCTTGTTTTGTAGGAGGCTGCTTGTTTATTTCTGGCTGTACAGTCCTGAAATAATCACAAAAATTGTATTAATTAAACCACTGCTTGGTCTATTAACTCTAGCTTCTTTTCGGCTAACTCTTGCATGTTAATTTGACTCATTTCTATTAATCTGTATATTACCACGTGGCTGTGGCTCCCTATGTAAATTTCCAACATATCTCTCTGGTGGGGCTACATGGCTTCTGTCTGACTCTGCCTTCTTTCTCCCAGCATTTAGTTTTATTTTCCCTACGTAGCCCTATTCTGCTAAACCACTGGCTGAAACAGCTTTTTTATTCCTTAACCAATAAAAGCAACATACATACAGAAAGATTTCTGACACCATTTCCCCTTTTCTGTTTAAATAAAAAGGAAGGCAAATAATAAAATTACATATAACAAAACAGACATCAAGTCTACTTTATCTTTTATCATCACTAAGGAAAACTATAACTATTTTTCAACTCCATCAAATACTCCATAAGGATATAAACAGGAAGTACGTTTTAAGCAACTTTCAAACCTCTAGAATTGACAGAGTTATCTTGCTGCCTGGACCTTCACCCAAGGTTCTTCTGTAATGTTAAACACATACATCTTCAGCCCACAGGCCCATTGTATCTGGCAGACTTTTCTACGAGGCAGGAAATTTCAAAGACAGTTCTACCTATATTGACAGTTTGTCAGTAACTTTCTTGTGTCCTGCAGAAATGTCTGGCAGTGTATTTTATGAAGCAGGAACCCCAAAGGATGGTCTCACCTTTAGGAAAGGTCAACAGTCATTTCTTAGTGGGTCTTTCATGTCCAGTTCACATAGCATACCATCAAGCAGTCCACGCAAGAGCAGTTTCTTGCCCAAATGACTAACAAACTCCATGAAGATCCTCTTTGATGCCCATCATCCTCTTGAAGTAGATTGGTGCTGCCCGGAGCAGATGTGCTTCACTGACATGAAAAGTCTTAAGTTCTTAAAGCATTTTAAATGCCATACTCTAAAGTCTTTGAAAGATCTGAAGAATACTTATCTAACTGAAATAAATCTGTATATCTAGAAAACTTAACTAACATGACTAAAAGCTTGAATATTACAGATGATTATCTAGTAACCTATATTTTTAATTATACATTACATTTTTAATTGAGCTGGACAAACACAATACCTTAATCAAGATCAGAAATACGTATACAGAGTAGAACAAAATTGACCTTACATTTGTATCAATAAAGCAAGTTCCATACCAATGCAAATATCTACAGCATATCCCCCTTTAAATGTAAACAAACATTTATAAACAATATTTGGGTATACGAGCACATTTCTCTCCAAACTGTATCCTGCTTTTTGTTGAGGGAAGTAATTTTTGGGGGGTGTTTATGGTGACCTTTCGGGGTTATTGGTACTTCAACCTGGAAGAATTCCACAGGTTCTCATCTTCTGTGGAAACAAAAGAAGATCCTCTTTTCTAAAGCCACATATTCTTAGACTCAAATTTTGAAGTCAAGAAACCTTTAAAACATATGTGTTGTTTTTGCTTAGCATTCTTCAGAATCAAATTTCTCTCTGCAGTCAAAAATTTAGAAAACACAATAATACACATAATCCAGACCCTCTCTGTATATTTCATCTTTACATGGCTTATTTTTCTTACTCTATTACTTTTTCTACATGTTTCATATTTATTTTTATTTTCTTTACTCCTTTAATCTATGACTGTCTGCAATGTCTCTTTAAAGACTTTGTTTTATTTAAAAAAAAAACATTTACTTCTTTTTGTAACTCTCTATACTCGTTCTTCTCTCTCTGAAGCCTACATACATTTATCCATGACTGTGACCCATTTAGAGGTCTTTTCCATCTGAATTTGTCTTTATTGCATATCTGCTGTTCCTTTCTGACCAGAACCACTTTTTAAAATGTTAAATGTCTTGACTAGTACTAAGGCTTCTTTGCCTTTTGGCTCTTCCCAGTCCAACATGGCAGAGACATGTTTGCTATTTCTGAGAGCCACACACATTGCTTCAGTTCTAGGTATGCCTGGGGTCTAAGTTGTGTCGTTAAGCAGATTGTAACCCACTGCTTACAAACCACATTCAGGTGTTCAGCCTCCTGAATTAGGCAGAGTTAGTGCTGGCAGCATGACCCAGGAAGCTGCCATTTTGAAACTGCATGTTTGTTCCTGGCTGCTCATCCCCAAAGTAACCACACAGAAACTGTATTAATTAACTCAGTGCTTGGTCTATTAATTCTAGTCTCTTATCACCTAGATAATACATGTTAATTTAACCCATTTCTGTTAATCTGTTTATTGCCATGTGGCTGTGGCTGACTGGGTAAAGTTCCAACATCTGTCTCTGGCAGGGCTACTTGGCTTTTCTCTTTCTCTGCTTTCTTTCTCCTTGCATTCAGTTTAGTTTTCCCCACCTAGCTCTAGTCTGCTAAGCCACTACCCAAAACAGCTTCTTTATTCATTAATCAATAAAAGCAACACACATACAGAAGGACCTCCCAAACCATCTTTGTATGCTTTTCTTTTGAAACTTGTCACTGTTCCCCATGTCTTATGATTGGCTAGGTTTGTAAATGAATAAACCATGTAATCAGGAGTTTCCCTCTTGAAAATATAGGCTCATATCCTCATTATTATAGTGAATTAACTCATATTTCCAAGAAAACCAGAGCTTAAGGATTTGAGGTTACCATGCAAACATGGAGGATTTTGCAGAACTCTGTGAAAATGATCATGTAATCAGGGGAATGTGTAGTTCAGCTGATTGAATGTTGAATACGGAGTGCCTCTAGAGTGCGGGTCCCTTCCTAGATACTTGTGTAACTTGAAGACTATGTCCCTTCATTTGTCCTTGAGAGCAGGCCTCTTTGGTTTTGCCAGGTTAGGCTTTACACTGCTGAACTAAAGCCATCTTCCTCCTCCACTATTCCATGTTTCTGGGTTACAGGGTCCTTTGACATTCCCGCATGTAAGGTTTTCTTTTAATTTATATGGAATGTAGTAAAAAGAGCTACAATTGTATTTCAAAGTCTCAGGTTATGTTTTCAGTGCCATTTTGTTTTACACCTGTGTCAAATTCTACTCCAAAGAGGTTGTTGAGAGTGTGGTCATTTATAGCTGCTATTTAATGCCTTTTCTGGGTACTTTAAATCTATATATGGATGCAAATAGGCATGTATGTAGGCACATATGTATGTGTGTGTGTGTGTAGGTATGTGTTTTTGTACACACACACATGCACCACCTATGCACTGATTTCTCAGTGCTTACAAGATATCCAAAGTTGTTGTTCTTCTGACCCTAGTCTCTTTTTCCTTTGTCCCTTGAACTCCAGAATTTCAGGCCCAACAATTCTTTATAAATATTTCTATTGTATTAGTTTCTTTTATCATTTTTCAGACCCTGTTGTTGCACTTGAGTTGTCTGCAGCTTTCTCTGAGACACAGATGTGCAGAGATGGAACTTAATTCCTGTTCTAAACCCAGGCACAATTTTGAGAAGACCAGCAGGGGCCTAGAGTTAGGCCCTAACAGGGGCACCTTGGTCCTAGAACACAGGTCTTCCCATACTGAGAGACCATTATTATCATTCCTGTGGCCTCTGTGCACTCAGCTTGGGTCTCACTTGCAATGCTTTGCTTTACCTTTGTGCATCATTACTTAATCAGCTTTCTGCTGACTTCATCTCCTTGTAATAAATTTTTGCTGACACTATCCCATTTTTCCTTTCAGGAAAATTGTGAATAGCATGTAGAAATGCCTAGTATTCTTGCATGTACCAGCAGTCAGCTTGTATAAGCACGCCTGATCCCAAACTTTACTATCTTCTCTAACTTCTCATCCTTTGGTCATCTCTCTCTCTCTCTCTCTCTCTCTCTCAGGAACCTGTCAGTAGAAAACAACCTGCCATTGTAGGACAACTGATGCCTCAGTATGGGCCCCAGACTACAGGAGGAGGAGGAGGAGTCACAGGAACAGGAGGAGTAAGTATGGCTATAACATAGAGAAAAGTAAGAGAAGCCAGGCTGAGGACTGCCTGAAGGAAGAGGCAGAAGGGTTGGGAGTACAATTACATAGGACAGCGGGATTCTATAGAGCTCTTTCTCGTCCCTCAGGTGCTTCTGATGCTTTTGTATTCTAGTTTTTTGGGGTGTATTGCTAAAGCACTTAGAAAGAGTATTTACTTTCAATCAAGAAGTCTGCCTTTTGTTCCTGAAAAATTTTCAATAAATTTAAGACATGAGAACATATAGTTGAGAGTTTCAAGACAACATATTTCGAACAGTGTCTAAACAGGGAAAGAAGGGACTGAGGATAAGGAAATAGCTTAAGGTCTTGAATTAGTTTTTCTTTGTGATGCCTCAGAGGACCTTAAGGACATTGAATCATTAAAATTAAAAAAATACATACATGTGTATATATACTTATAAACATATTATATACTTATAAACATATAATATTTATGAAATCACCTAAAATGATTCTTACCTGTATAGTATATACCTTGATTTGGACAAGAAAGTAAGTTATTTCTGTATACATCGGAACCTCAGGGAAAGTCCCAGACAGGCCTAGATCTTAACAACCTCCAACCTAGTCCAGGGTATTGAGAATGTTACCATGAACAAAATTTCAATTCCTCCCCATCTTATGTGTTTTATATTTGAAATATATTCTTGGCAGTGGCCTCAGTCAGCTCTGTGACTGTTCTGTCACTGGGTGGGTTTGGAAGTAGTCAGTTGCCATGTGCTCTCCTCAGACTGTCAGACAGCTGGTTGGAGCACAGGCCTGAGTCTCCTGCACCAGGTCATAGCCATTCCTCCTTTCAGTAGTGGCGTCTTTGATGAAATGAAAGAATACTGTTTCAGATATTAGAATTCTTACACATTTAGTGATGTTAGCCTGTCTGTACAAAATCATCCTTATTTGGTCTCTTATCTGTAATTTATTCGAGTTGAAAAACAGGCTTATAATGATACCATCCCGAGAATGCATGTCTACTTAGATTATGAAAACCCTTTTGTGAGTATTTGTGATAACTTGTAGTGTTTTGTCATTTTGTCTGCTGCTGCTTTGAGAGTAGGCACCTGACCATAAAAATCATATGTGATAGTTTCTGAGAGCTGTGTTTACAAGTGACTGTCTCTTGTATAGCATAAGGTTAAAACTTATTCTAAAGTGAGGTTCAATTTCTCCCAGAATAGAACATTTATAAAATATTCGATTGGTTTGTATTCTCATCAACTCTTTTTTAAATTGATTTTTATTGATCTCTACATTTTTCTCTGCTCCCCTCCCTGCCTCTCTCCTGCCCTTCAACCCTCCCCCTTGGTTCCCATGCTCCCAAGAACGGACGGAGCTAGAAAACGTCTTTTTGAGTGAGGTAACTCAGACACAGAAAGACAGGTATCATATGTACTCACTCAGATGTTTTTTTAAAAAAAAATAAAGCAAAGAAAACCAGTTCACAAATCACAATCCCAGAGAAATTAGACAGTAAGGACCCTAAGAGAGACATACATAGATCTAATCTACATGGGAAGTAGAAAAAGAGAAGATCATCAACTCTTAATACTGTCTGACTTTTAGTGTTTGTCTTTAGTGATTTTTTTTTAAATCTCTGATTCTTTGACAGTGTCCTACTGTGTGTATCATCAGTTTATGTCATTTTCACTGCTTTATATGCTTTCTGATCCCCCTTGTCCCAGTGATACCTCTTGTATGTCCTTCACTCATTTTTCATTCAGTGGTTCATTTGTTCATTGGTCCTCTCTGTCCAGACTCAGGAATTTCCCTTTTACCTACTGATGCCTGCCTCCCATGAGCTTGTCCCTTTTCTTCCTTTGCTCATCTACATTTCCTTCTCTGCCGTTCTTCTTCCACACCCCTTTCCATCCGTTCTTGTTGCCTATTTCCTTGTCTTGCACCTGTCTTTTGACCTGTGTATCTTCACCTTCTGCTTTTTCTTTTAAGTCTTTCCTGTTCCCTCATTCCTTCCCTATATCATCTGCCCTTTCTTCCTTTGTCCTTTAATCATTACATCTTTTCCCCATTTCCTACTGCCTTTCTCTATTTGGAGCACCGTTCCATTGGTGACTTCCCCCTTTTCCTCTTTTCCCATTTTCTACTGTATTTCTCTCCTCCCATTTTAAATATTTCCATTTCAAGGCAGGAGAACCTTCCCCAAATTTTCCCCCTTCTAAACTTTTTCCTTTTGCTTTTTCTCTTTCTTTCCTTTCCTTTCCTTTCCTTTCCTTTCCTTTCCTTTCCTTTCCTTTCCTTTCCTTTCCTTT